CCGTTTCTCTTGCTGTGAAGGCGGGGAGGGACAAAGCAGCCTTGTGCAGGCAGGGAAGGATTCATGCTGTGGCTCCTGGGAGTTTGGGCAGCACCCAGGGCACCTCCTCCTGCCTCTGCCGGTACGTCCCTCCTCCAGACAGAATTTTTGACCAATTCCTCCTACTATTGGGAATATTTACACATGGCTGAAAAAGGCTCAGCTTTAATCTGCCCTGAGCCTTGATTTAACCTTTACAGTTGTGTTTGCATTGGGTAGGGCCGGGCTTGTGCTTGAAATGAGGGAAGCAGCAGAAAGGGCGACACAAAGGTGCTGAGCCACAACCTGGGGCCTGAGGTGAGGTGAGGCTGAGTTCATGCACCATCAAGGGGGGCTCTGCCAGGGACAAGCGTTTCCCTCCCCCCCCGGGCTGTTGCTGGGCTCTTGCTTTTGCAGGACAGAGCTTACAGCTGTGAATTGGTGGGTGTTTTTGTGGTTATTGGGGATAATCCCGATGCTCTCTACATCTCCATCCCATCCTGCAGCTCTGCCACACCCCCAGCCCTTGACTCTTGCTTCCCTGGAGGGACATGGGGTGTGATGCCAGCTGAGATGCTTTTGGGGAGCAGTGATAATTGGCAGACAGAGACCTGTGGTACCAGGGCAGCTCCATGCTCCCCTGAACAGTGGGCACATTTCCCGAATTTCCTCATCCTACTGGCTTGTGAGATCTTGCTTTTGGCTCTGCTTGGCCAGGCCAGCAACACACCATGGCAAAAGCAGGGTGTTTGTTATGGGGAGCCCAAAACCAGAGTGGGACAGTAACAATTTTCCCCTTGTTGGGAGAAGAGGGAGATGCCGTGAATCCCTTCCCACCCCTCCTGGGCTATACATGTGCCGCTCCAGCTGCCCTCTGGCTTTTTGGGGACTGTCCCCCTTTGCCTTCATAGCCTCTCACACCCCAGACTTGGCGCTGCCACGATGGTGAGTAGCAGTCTTGAGGATGCTGAGCTTTGCCACCGCCCCAAACCCTTTTTCCTTTTTCCCTGGGGTTTTGTGGGGTGAAAAGAAAAAAAAAACCAGCAAGATTTTGCTTTGCTAGCAGTCAGGGTTTAGCCCAGGGGAAGGTTCCTGCAGGGAGGGTCGTGGGTGTGGGATGATCTTGAACCCCGAGGCTGGGCTAGGCCCTGGCAGAGGGGCTTTGCCGATGGGATGCCACTAAACGTGGGTCCTTCTCCCTGAGCTGCCGGCGATGGGAAAACAGCCGGGATGAACTCAGGCTGCGCTCTAGCATCCGTAGCACCCACGGACACAAGCGTGTCTGGTAGTAACGAGAGGCTGCTGTCGACCTGTGGTGTTTTTAAGCGTTTCAGCTCTCTTTTCCAGGCCTGAAGTCGCAGTTTCTCTGCTGCAATAAGAAGAATAAGGCTGAGCCGCCCTTAGGAACGCGGCGTCTCCAGTGCCCTTGCTCCCAGGTACGGAGGCAGCTCTGCGTGGGAAGATGAGAGCTCCGTGGCTGCGTCCTCGCTCACAAACCGGGGTTGGTGGTGTGTGTTTTGGCAGTGAAGCTCTTGGGGTACAGCCGGGGCGGTCTGCAGTGCACATAATGCCATTCCAACATCCAGACTGGAGGATCCAGGAGGGGTTGGGTCAATGGTGCTGCTCTCCTCGACAAGTCTAACGCTAAAAGCATTGTGGAGTGACCGGCGCTGCCTAGGGCTAATTTTCCTCTTCCAATTTCTATCCCAAAGCTTCTCCTCTCCGTGGATACAAGTAATCCTTAAAAGCTGACCTACTGCTCCTGTTCCACCCGGAGCCGTAACCCTTCTCTGCGGACGAGCAAGTGCCACTGTCCCTCTGTCCTTTCCACTTCGATGACTCTGTGGCGAGGCGCCCAGGATGGTGGTGAGTGAACGCTCTTATGGGGAGCAGCCAGCAGGGGAAAAGCAAGTCCTGTAGCTCCAACAAAGCCTTTAGGCCCTTTCCAACAGCTCGACGGGGAGCTCCGGGAGGCAAAAAGCACCCGGAGATGGTGCTGGGCTGGGACACGTGGCTGCTCCGCAAAACAGCTGTGATTCCCCCAAAATGGAAGCAGAAAAAGCACCTCCTACCCCACGGGATCAGGGCAGCCCCAGAGGTAGGTCTGAGCCCATCCCCACAGCATCACGGAACACCCCTGGGGCTCCATCCTTAAGGTGTGGATCCCCCCAAACCCTGCCCTGATCCAAGAAATCAAGGACACCCCAAACACCACCAGGTCGGGACCATCCAGCCAGTTTTATTTTGGGCGCTGCCGCTGTTGCAGCTCAGCTGCTGCGGCTGTTGGAGGGGGACACCCAAGGCAACGGCTGCTCGCCGGCAGTCCCAAACCCCTAAAAAAAAAAAGAAAACCAACCTCCAGAGCCCCAGATTAATTAAAACCCAAAATTGCGTGGCGTGGTGTGAGCCAGCCGGGGCTCCGGACCAAGGAGTCGCTGAGCAGCCTGGGCACGGCAGGATGGGAATGGCCATCACCCGGCTCAGCCTCCTTGTTGCATCCTGTGAAACTGAGCCGAGGCTCGGCCGCT